CCCCGCACCGTCGAGAGGCGGAACTTTTGGCCTGCTATACCACGGCGGTCTCGAGGAGGTCTCGGAGCTCATCGTGGACCCGTTGCCCCTCCGAGGTAGAGGGCTCGGGCATTGTCCGGAGTAGCATCGCCGCTGCCACAATGATCTGGCTAGCGCGATTGAAAATAGGGGGTTGCTCGCCCCCTTCGTCGTTGTTGATGCGGTGGTTGACATCGCGAGCCCTCCGCCGGGCTGCTCCACCCTCACCGTGACCCCGCTGCTCTCGGTCGAGAGTGTCTCAGAGCTGCTGCAGAAGGAGTCGGTCTTGTTCGACCTTGGCCGGAAGCTCACGGAGCTGCTCTAGGTCTAGGCATCGAAGTTCCTCGGGGGCGGGGTTCTCGTTCCGCGCTGCCCGGGGCTCGATGCGTGAAGGTGTGGCGTCGCCTGCCCCCTCGTGGGGCGGGGGGGCGATTGCCTGCCCCTTCATCCTCATCGCCCACGCTTGGCATCCCGAGCTCGACGAGCACTCACGAGTGGGATCGTAAGTGTCTTCGTCCTTAGAGTCGGAGTAGCCGAAGCAGTAGTCGCTCGCGGCCATAAAGCGGCGCATGGCTTTAGGGTCGCGAAGCCCGGAGAAGTCCGCTCCAGCCCACGCCTCGTCCTCCTCCAAGGAGTCAGCGCGGCTATGGGTCGGGGTTGTGGCGATGAGGTCGAGGGCAAAACGTTGGTAGGCGGCGGTGGCATTGCCCAACCCGAAGGGGTACGAGGATGATGTCGTCGCTGGGCTCCGCTCCACCGGAGTCGACTCCTCAGGGGGTGGCGGGGCAGAGCTTGATGACGGGGCGTTGCTGCGCGCCACCGGCGTCTTTCCCTTGCCCAGGCTTAAGCTAGACAGGTCCCCAACCAGGAATTCTGTACCAACAGCCGGGTATGGGATACTGGTGGAGCGCGGTGCGTTGCCCTGAGCTCGCATGGTGTCGGGGTGGTCCCGCCCGCGTCGCGCCTGGCGAGCGTGACGAGAGCGACGGCCCGGGCGCCGCCCGCGCCTGGGCTGCTGGTGCATGATGTCATCATCTGTTGATGGGGCTCTGGGTAGGAGGAGTACCATGTCGTACTCATATCCTAGAGACATGAACTCTAGGCTCCCGAACCAAATCATCGTGCCGAGACGCAGCGGTTGCACAGGGTCTGCCATCCGGAACTTGTCGGGATGACTAAGCTGACAAGTAGTAGCCCCCCTACCTGGCGCGCCAACTGTCGGTGTTTTGGACCAGGGGGTCCTCAACCGACTAGTGAAAGTGTACTGCGTGTTCCTAATCCCAGATGGTGATGCAAAGGGACACAAGGTTTATACTGGTTCAGGCAATAGGTGCCCTACGTCCAGTCTGAGGGAGCGATCTTGTATTCCTTACACCGAGATGCTTGTAGTAGGGGCTTACAAGCTAGGCGAGAGAGGGAGCTAGTCCCAGGTCTCTGCATGGAGTGGCGTGGGTTGCTTGAGATGTTGATCTCTTGCAATGAGGGAGCGTGTGTGTTATAGGGCGTTGCGCGTTGCATGCCTGGGTCTCTCTCTGTCCTTAGAAGCGGCCCTGGTTACTCCCTTTTATAGTCGAAGGGAGGCACCGGGGTGGTACATGTATTTGCTACGTGGCGTTCTTCGGTAGGGGCGGCGTGTCCGAGTCCTGCAGCTTGTCACTGTGGCGGCATGGTCGGTGGAGCGGTCTTGTCCTCCGTGCACTGGAGCGACGCGCCGGTCACGCTTGATCCTATGCGACGTGGGAGCTCCTGTGGTGGCAGGCATGCCTTCTTCTGTTGGAGGCGTGCTGGTTACTGTATGTTTGACCAGCGCGGAGTGCCGAGGCCGGGTTGATGCGATGGCGCGGGTACGCTGATTCTGAGGCTACAGGAGCTACGCCTTGTGCGCGACGTGGGAGCTCCTGCAGCTCGACGCAGGGTATGGCGCGTTCTGCCGGTCCCAGAGTGCTGACAACGTGGAGAGCCGAGGCCCAGTCGATGCAGAGGCTGGACCGTCGTGGGGGCTCAGCGGGCGCGAGTCCCGAGGCTATAGGAGCCCGGAAGCGGATAGCCGGGGCTCGAAGGGAACAGTTGGTCTTGTTCGTCGATTCCGTGGCTACAGGGACCCGGACTTGACTCTCCACGCTGCGCTGTCCCTGGAGTAGGGGTTAGGCAGCACAGTGTAGTACGAGTGTCAGCCGTGGGCACAGTGCCGACCACAGCGGCCGGTAACCCCTGCCCCATCCTGTCCCGGACTGCGTGGCGTCGATGTGACTCCCGTCTCGTCGGCCACTCCGCTGTACTGCGTCGACGTGCGACTGACGTCGCGGGAGTGGTTGGACGCGTTGGTTGGATGTGACATCCTGTCAGAGAAATCGGTCAAGGCGGCGGTTATGGGGTTGATGCCGAGGCGGCCTCGAGCGAGTCGGTAACTGAGTGCTCGTCCGAGGCCTCGTGGCACGGGGCCTCGGGCGAATCGGAGAATCGGCACCTCGTCCGAGGCCTTGCGGTGTGGGGCCTCGGGCGAGTCGGAGAATCGGAACCTTGTCCGAGGCCTTGCGGTTTGGTTCTGGGCCGAGCCCGCTTCGGGCGAGCCCGGATGTTTGTTCGAGGTGGGCCGGGCGGTCCAGCCGGGCCTCGGATGTGGCGGGTTTGCCTGCCGTTGTTTTTTTGTTTCGTTATTTACAAGGTCTAAGCAATTTTTTCGGTTCTTGCTCAGGGTACCTTTTATTATGGTATCCGACAAATTACGTCTCTGCGTTGCATCCATGTATATCATAATAGGGATAACGATGTATCGTGGAGTCATCTAGAGTAGCAGAAAAGATGGTGTCTTGATGATCATGTCCCTACGATTAAGTTTTAAGGAGTTGAATGAAACCCACTTGCATATATATATATATATATACCCTATGAGTATTACTAGTATGTCAAGATCGTGTAGATTGCTATGGTTAAAGATTCCGGTAAAAGTCGACTGATTACCTGTCACTCGTGAGAGATAGAAAAGATATTATTGTTGTTATTGTCATATTACTATCACATGGAATATATATATCAGGTGATAATTGGAGACTAGACGGAATAGTACTTTGGATCTGAACTTGGTTAGATATTCAAGCGAGGCTCGGGTTGCATTTGCTCCGCCTGTGTTGATTGAGGACCGTCCATTGCTGTGGATGGTAGTCAGGTCACAGACTTATTATCATAAGTACATACTTGCTTATGAGAGCGGGAAGGCTCGTTACGCTCTTGTCGTGGGTTCCGACACTTTTCAGATCGACTGATTGGAGACGGAGAAAGGTGAATGTCTAAGCACCATTCTGAGCCGGGTCTCAAGTGTGGGGGCTTGGAGTCCAAGTTTGAACAGGGATCTGGATCCCGTGATAGAAGTGGAATGGGTTGGTCTTGTTTGTGCCTGAGGTACAAACAGGGCGTGTATTTAAGGGTATCCAGCTGAAATACATTGGATCGCGAATCGCCGTTTCTGTGAGACGATACGACTTGGCTATGATCTAGCACCGTAGTAAAATCTAAAACAGAGCGTAGGGTACCTAAGCTTTTCCTTAGTGAAGAATTTTTTTCGCTAAATCTATAACCCACTCGACCGTTTCTAACACTCGCTACGCTCAATTTTCCTGGCCATCGGATGGCGCTGTGATGATACGGATGAAGCGCAGCAACTAGTGGCGGGCCCCAGGGTGTCGCGGTCGGACGCCTCAATCTTATCCGACTCGGCCTTTCCTCGGTCGACCGCAACTTCTTCCGTCACCGCACTGCCTCGCCTACCTCGCCGCGGACCCTGCCGTCTCGCGCGGAGGAGCATTGCTAGAGCAACGTGGGCGCAGAGAGGCCCAGCTGGAGCAGGTAACCGCAACCCCTCTCCTCCTCCCCACTCCTTCGCGTCGCTGGCAATGACCGCGGCAGGGAGTACGGCGCCTGCGGCCTAATCCTCGTCGACCACAGCCACTTCCTCGTGCTCTAGTTCCGGATTACATCTTGTTGTAGCATATTTTACTATTTCGATTTGGGTGATCGGTGTAATTTGATTGTTCGTAAATGAGAATGGTCATTTGGATTACTTGAACACTTTTTGATCTTTTTTTGGCTCTTTTTTTGTTTGTATGTATGGTTTATTTGTTTCCCTTTAAAATCTTCTAATTTGGATTTCATAAAAATAATCTGGCAAATTTTTTATTTTATATGTTTTATCTGTTTGCATTAATTTTGATCATTTGATCTGGATCATGTGGTTACGAGAATCAAGTGTTTCGTGGCCTAGAAACACTTGATTCTAAGGCCAGACCAGTTTCGAGTGTTTTTGAGCCGGTTGACACTCAGATGTCAAGAGCCTCTAAAACACTCGATTACAGAGTAGACAGCCCCAATTTTTTTAGCGGCTGCTAGTAACCTTCTTCTGGTCGCCATTTTGGTTCTAAATGGGGAGTATAGTACATCAGTGAAGTTTTTTAACATAAAAACTTTGCTATGGTAATGGTGCAACGTGTGTACATATTAGTGGTCAATGCAATGCCCCCAAAAGGTTTGACCGCCGGCGTCCACGTTGTAAAGCGACCGATCAATGTGTGGTTGGATAACGGTTTGACCAGCAGCAAACTATCTCCATCTCCGGTCACTAGTGACCACAAACCTCACTTTTTCGCCATGTGCCAATGCTCATGGTCAACAGTGACTACCACTATGCACACGATGACAAGATAGACTTCGTGCGGCACTTGAAAATTGTTGCATTTTAATTAATTGGAATTTCTGCAACAATTTCCGCCATCTATATACCATTCAGTAAAAAAGATGGCGTACATTAATACTCATTTGTTCTAGCTATAGATATATAGATATATCGTATTAGTATAGTTGTGCATGCAATGCAAGAAGCATCCATATTATTACTATCACTGCAGCAAGTGATATATAGCTAGCGCACGATTGATTTACCGCGCGCGATTAACAAACGGAAATAAACTTACACTTGAAAGTTGAAACTACTACTTGTGGTTCAAGATGACAGTCTCGTACTCGCCGGCGTGGGAGGAGGAGGCGTCCGCGTCATCGTCGGCGCCGGTGACCGGGAAGAAGAAGGGGTAGGTCTCGTAGCGTGCCATGCAGCTGCTGTAGAGCACGCGGCATCCCCTCCGGAAGCGGCAGTAGTTGGGGAGCTCCGCCACCGCCTGCGCCACGCAGAGCCCGCAGTCGGCGGCGGTGATGTCCCTGGTGCACCACCCGAGCCCGTAGATGGTAGTCCCGTCCGACCCAAACTTCGCCGTCTCCCTGGCGAGTCCGGCGCTCGCGGGGTCACCTGCCTCCTCCGCGACGCGCGCCATGAGCCTCCGCTCGGCGCGGTCGAACGCGGCCAGGTCGCCGGTGGCGTTCATGGTGTTGATGAGGATGATCGTGTACCCGGTGTCCGGCAGGCCCAGGAAGTCGGTGTCGTCGTAGCGGAGGAAGCAGTAGTCGTACCAGACCCGCGCGTCCGCCTGTCCCCGGCACGACGCCGCCACCTGCCGCGCCGCCGCAGCCAGGCAGCGCGCGCAGTCGGACGACGGGATGTCGCCGCGGCACTGCGCCAGGCCCCAGATCGTGGAGCTGCCGCTGCCGGACGTCGCCGTCGAGTAGTACGTGGCCGAGGCGCGCGGCACCAGCGTGGCGAGGACCGCGCTGATGCTCGCCTGCGTCTGCGCGCTCGTGAAGTTCTTCGCGCAGTACGTGCTTACCGGGTCCACGGCCGAGCTTGGCCGCGGCGCCAACGTTAACGCCGCCGCGGCGGCGAGCAGCAGTGGAAGGAGCAGCACTGGCGACGATGGAGCCATGCTGGTTTGTGGGTTGTGGATGTCGTCTTCTTCCTCTGGTCCTGTTGTCGATTGGTTTGTTTGCTTGCATGCAACATATATATTGGGATGATGGGGTGCGTTGATAAGTTATGCATGGCGAGGACTAGCGATTGGTGGCGAGACATACGCAGCCAGCCGGCCATAGTTGACTGAATGTATGGCTGTGGCGAGACGAGAATGGGCATGGATGGATGATGGGATGGGATGCATGGGCCCTGTGTTGCAGTGGAGACGACGAAGCTTTGGCTTTGTGTGGAGCACAGCACATGGAGCAGATCGAGAGCAACTTGTGGAGATATTGTCAACTAGATTATGTCGTCCATAGCTAGCTAGGCAGTTTCTAGAGGAGGAAGAAGAGTCGCCTGCATGCCCTGCAGCAGCTTGCTTGCCTTGGGCAGATGGACATGCATGCAGCATGCAAGTTTTGCTTGCCTTGGGCAGATGGACATGCCTTGGGCAGATGAAGAATGTAATGCAGTGCATGTTACGATCGATCGAGATGAATGGATCGTAGGATGATGACCTGTTCTGCTTTCCTCTGAAAAAAAACAGGCACCCCGATCCACAAGCAAGCTTCTTGTTGACAATGCAATATATATAGGCACGTACACTTAGACTACTTGATCAGAATTAGTCATCATAAGCTAAGCAACGGTGCACGCGCGGGTCACGTGTTGGTTATTGCCGAGTGTCCCCTAGAGGCCGAGTGTTGACACTCGGTAAATATTAGATATGCCGAGTGTAATAGTATGCCGAGTGTCTTGGAGTAAACACTCGGCAAATGTGCTGTTTGCCGAGTGCCCGATATAATACACTCGGCAAACAGAAAGCACTCGGCATTGTCACTGTTTCCCGTAGTGCAAGCTTAACGTGCAATCTTTTGATCTTTCTACTGATGAACGCATGGCAGGTAATACTAGTCGTACGTTCTACCTAGCTGTGGTAAAATGCCCGGGCGACAGCAATGCAAACATGTCAAAAACCTTGGGTATCACCATGTTGAATAATTGTAACGCTAGCTGTAGATCTTTGTGATTAACTTTAATTATAACACACAAAGCTAGCAAGCATGCATGGCATAGGATTTTAGACCAGTTAATAAAAATGACTGAAATTAGCAAGGGTCGGTCGGTGCAGCTTTTGTTGACGTGGTGGCGAGCAGGAGTCGACTACACTACGTCTACCGGTCTACGTAGTACAGCAGTCTTATTTGAGATTGACACACAGAGAATCATAAATCTTGCAGGTTAGTTGACTCTGACCAATGCAAGTTGGTTAGGTCGAGCAGCAGCAAGCAATGCAAGCACTCCCGCGCACCCAGGCTGGGCAGTGCATGCAGCATCACTGGCCGGTCAACGCTTCCTTTCTAGATGGATTACGACGTGCATGTGCAGTGCCGACGTGGAGCCTGTGAAACAGATAGATAGATGCATGTGTGTGTGTGTCATACGTGCAAGTCACGTTGTAACAAACCAGACCGAGATTTGTGGTAGACTGCGTCCTTCCTAGTTTAGGCTGTTACTATTCCTGTAATCAAGGACGCTCTCTCAACAAATCTCGGATCACGATTGTATGCCACGGCAGGGCTCTTTCTGCCTATATAAACACACGCGGCCTCCACGGAGGTGAATACGCTTCCCAATTCTCACATGGTACCAGAGCCAACCTCTATCCACTGCCAAAAATAATCGCCATGGCGACGAACCTCATCGCGGGTGGTCTCCTGTCCTCGGCGCTAGGCCATCCCGTGACGGAGAAATTGACCAAGACCAACTATACCCTATGGAAGCTGCAGGTATTGCCTGCCATCCGCGGCGCTCAGTTTACTGGGCTGATCGATGGATCCAAAGCTGCCCCGGCCAAGGAGATCGAGGGCACTGACAAGGTCAAGGAGCCAAATCCGGCTTACGCAACCTGGCTGGCGCAAGACCAGCAAGTTTTCGGCTACATCGTCAACTCGCTCTCCAAGGAGATGATGAAGCAGATCTCCCACTGCGACACCTCGGCGTCTCTCTCTGGAAGGCGCCGGAGGAGCTCATGCGTCACAAACCAGTATGCCTGCGGTAAACACGCCGCGTATTGCCACGCTACCACGAAGAAGGGGACCATGAGCATCGACGAATACGTCGGTAAGATGAAAACATATGCTCGATGAATTGGCAGCTGCAGGCAAAGCGCTTGATGATGAAGAACTCATCTCCTTCATCATCACCGGCCTCGATCTCGACTACAATCCGGTCTTCTCCGCCGCTCTTGGACGTGTCGAGCCGATCAGCGTCACCGAGCTCACGTCACAACTGCTCGCCTTCGAACAACGCATGAATCTCTACCAAGGGTCGTCCGGGTCATCCTCTTCGCCAAGCTTCTCCGCCAACGCGGCCTCACGGGGTCGTGGAGGTGGGCGCATGTCCCGTGGTCGCGGTGCACGTGGCCGTGGCAACAACGGTGGGCGTGGGCGCGGGAACTTCAACAACAACTCCAGCTCCGGCAAGCAGAAGGTCCAGTGTCAAATCTGCAAGAAGGTGGGCGTCCACACAACATCCGAATGCTGGTACCGGTTTGATGAGAACTATGTCCCTGAAGACAAGAGCGCCAACGTCGCCAATTATGGTGAGTATGGTGTAGATTCAAACTGGTACACGAGATCTCGGCGCCCGATCATGTCACAAAGAGATGGACAAGATGGTGATCCGTGACCGCTATCATGGTGGCGATCAAGTCCACACGGCAAATGGATCAGGTATGGACATTGAACACATTGGTCATGTCATCTGTCATGCGCTGGAAGAAAAATTCATCTTAAAAATGTTCTACATGTTCCCAAAGCTGCTAAAAACCTTGTATCTGTTCATAAACTAGCTGCGGATAACAATGCTTACCTTGAGTTCCATCCAAATTTCTTTCTTATTAAGGATCGCATCACGAAGAAAATCCTGCTGGAAGGAACGTGTAGAGGAGGACTCTACCCTATGCCTGCGGCTGCCTTCAAGAATAAACAAGCTTTTGCTGCATCCAGTAGTTCGTCGTCACTAGAGATGTGGCACAACCGCCTAGGCCATCCTTCTTTTGATGTCGTTCAGCAAGTACTCAGTAGCAATAAATTGTCTTGTTCCTCGTACTCGAGAGAAACCACAGTTTGTGATTCTTGTCAAATGGCCAAGAGCCATCAATTGCCCTATCAAAGATCGTTGAGTAAATCTCGTCTCCGTTAGAACTTGTTCATTCGGATGTATGGGGGCATGCCATTGATTCTTTTGGGAATTATAAGTATTATGTGAGCTTCATTGATGACTATAGCAAATTCACCTGATTTATCTTCTTAAACACAAGTCTGAGGTACTTGATAAATTTCATGAGTTTCAACAACTTGCTGAACGGCAACTCAACAAAAAAATCCTAGCCATCCAATCTGATTGGGGAGGAGAGTATGAGCGCCTAAATTCTTTTTTTAGCAAGATTGGCATAGCTCATCATGTCTCTTGCCCTCACACTCATCAGCAGAACGGATCCGCTGAACGCAAACATCGACACATAGTCGAAGTTGGCCTCTCATTAATGGCGCAAGCTTCCATGCCATTAAAATTTTGGGACCAAGCTTTCTTAGCAGCCACCTATTTGATAAATAGGATTCCAAGTCGTGTAATCAATAACATGACGCCTCTACACAAACTTTTTCAGCATCAAGTTGATTATAACTCGCTCCGCACTTTTGGCTGCGCATGTTGGCCAAATCTCCGTCCTTATAATACCCACAAACTCGCTTTCCGTTCGAAGCAATGTGTTTTTCTTGGGTATAGTAATCTTCATAAAGGCTTCAAGTGCCTTGATATACCCACCGGTCGCATATATATATCTCGCGATGTCACCTTTGATGAGCATGTTTTTCCGTTCTCCAAGCTTCATTCTAATGTCAAGCCCGATTTACCGTGAATCCTCGCTATTCCTTCTTCCGGGGTATGTCAATGCATGATCATGTGCCTGATGTCCTATCTGCAGGTGCTACTAATGCTGATCCAATGTTTCAGGAAAAATCAGCCGAAATTTCTACCGAAAATGGCGGCATTTCACATCCCTGCCTCAGCTCCACACGGCAACAAATCCGGAGTTGATGCGCCATCGCCGCTTGGAGGGTCCGCGATCGCCCTCAATTCAGCGCCAGCTGCTGCGCACTCAACGCGTGGCGAGCGCGATGTCCGGCCGCCACCTGTGCTGTCTCCAACTACTGCATCCGCTTCTCCCGCGCCAACACGTGGGGGCCTGCCTACGGATCCACCGGCGCTAGACTCTGGCGCGCATGGGGGGGCAACGGTGTCGGGATCTTCTGAGAATCCCGTCTCTCCATCGCGCGCCACACACGGGGTCTCCGGATCCGGTGTGCCGTCCGCTTCTCACGAGGCTGATACAGGAGGATCGAGTGCGACTGCTGATCCTGAGGCTGCGCGTGTGCATGATGCTGCAGCGTAGCACTGAAGTTTCTGCTGTCTTGCGACCACGAACGCGTCTGCAAGCAGGTATTCGCCAACCAAAACAATTTAAAGATGGCACAGTAAGGTATGGCCTCCTCACCACAACAGGTGAGCCTAACAACCTAGATGAAGCTTTGGGGAATCAAAATTGGAAGAGAGCAATGGATGAAGAATTCATGGCATTGCAAAGCAACAAGACTTGGCGGCTTGTTTCACAGGTTCCAGGACGAAATGTAATTGACTGCAAGTGGGTCTATAAAATCAAGAAAAATGCTGATGGCTCTATAGAGCGCTACAAAGCCCGTCTAGTCGCCAAAGGTTTCAAGCAGAGGTATGGTCTTGACTATGAAGATACATTTAGTCCAGTTGTTAAATCTGCAACCATTCGACTTGTGTTATCTATTGCTGTGTCTCGTGGTTGGAGTTTAAGGCAGTTGGATGTGAAGAATGCGTTTCTTCATGGCATTCTAGAGGAAGAAGTTTATATGCGACAGCCTCCTGGGTATGAAGATA